AATTAATAAAAACGTTGAAAATCATTTAGGAAGCTTAAGTCCCTTGTACTATTAAGAGTACATTTATAGTTTACGGACTACTTAAGAGTACGTTTATAACATAGAGTCTAATGTGGAGGCCCGGCTATTACAATGAGTTAAATTATGTATTTTTTAATTCTACTCTCTCGAGCTCTTCTAAGTCAGTCAGGTTCTGTGTAACGCTGGCTGGATGAACCAGAGTTCCGTTAGATAGACCAATTTCAGTATCAGAAGGGGTAGACTCCTGAGATATTTTATTAACAACATTAGATTGTTGAAGTATCTTTTTCCGTTGTTTCGCAACTCTTGGCTGTTCTTTAAGCAGGGTTTTAAGTAGTTGAGTGCGAGCTTCAGGCTCTCTTAGTGCTTTGAGTCTTTGATCCATGGCCTTAGCTAGTTCCAAATTTATCGAGGATATTAAGGCTCTTACCAAGAGGCAGTTCCGATCCTTCTTACTCAAGCTACCACTGCTAAATCCTAACTGACTTAAATATCTTATTCTATATAACATAGTTTAAAACATAGAAATATCCTTCGAATTTTACAATATACCACCCCTGTCACATCCACACTTGTGTATTTCCACTATGGCAGTGCGTCGTCGTCGTTCTGGAAATCATCATCTAGCATTACCTCGTAATCATCAGCTAGAAGCTGAAGTCTGCCGATATTTGCAGCGAGTGTCGCTCTTGTATATGGAGCAACATCTGGCATCATTTCCTCGTGTTGTGTTGTCTGTTGTCGTGCTGTTGTATCTGGTAATTGTGCTTATGTGGTATCTGGTGGGTGAACTGTTTCTAGTTTTTGTGTGTTATACGTGCTTCTTGAGTAGCATCTTGTCGCTCAGTAGTTACATTAGCCGTATTCTGTGTTGTGGTCATATATAATACTATCGATAACATATCTGAGGTTTCTCTGCGTTACCTGAGGTCGCAGATTTAGACTTATCAGTTTCGTCGATAAGCATATCAAGATCATCGTCGATTATGGTATCTAGTGTATTTGTTACGTGAGGCCCTGCCTGGGACGCCACGGGGACCGAAAGTGTTTAATCATAGGGGTAATTTACTTAGTTTATATTCAGACATTCGGGCCTATTGGTTATTTTGTAGAGGGTCTCAAATGGGCAAAACCCATTCCAGCCGGGGAAAAAAGCGTTACGGACCTTTTTCAGTCGGATTTTTTAGCGTCACCGACGTTTTTTGGCTACTGACAAAAAATCGGTGATAAAGTCTTACGCTTTCAGTAATAAAACACGATTGGGACGCCGCGGAGACTGAAAGCGTATACTCAGAGGCGTATTTCATTTTGTTCATATTCACGTATATAGAAACTGGGCCCTTTGTTTAAAAAAAAAAATTTATACAAAATGTGGAAGGACTCAAGGGGGTCTACAAATAGGTCAAATATTTGGGGACGGGCAAAAAAATCGGTGATAAAACCCGGCTGAGACGCCTCAGGGACTGAATGCCCATAATCAGAGGGGGTTAATTCATTTTGTGCATAATCACGTACATAAATAAATACATAAATATAAATATTAGAAATATTGGTAAAATACTTGGGCCCTGTTTGTGACAATAAAAAAATTAAAATTAAAAAATAGTGAATTGACGAAACGTTAAGCGTGAGCGCAGAACTCATCGGATTTAAATATACGTTTTAACGTATCGAGGATTATATCCTGATGGAACTATTTTTTTATGTATAAACGTTTATCAACGCACAACAAATAGCTAATCGTATATTCATTGGCGCTGAATCGAGAGATCAGGTACTGGCATAAATCAGCAGGCTTGCCAATTCTTTTGTCCTGTCCCTTCTTCGTGTAACGAGGTGCGATACGGCCCATTGTCGAGTCATTGAGTGCACAAACAACGGGCGAACGCTGCCAAATGTAAGAGAACTTTTTTTTAGACCGGAGGTCTTCTTGTAAAAATACAAAAGGGTCTTCAACTGTAAATGGTAGTAAGGTACCCACTATAAGGTACCCACTATACAGAGAGAAACTTTTGGTGTTCGCCTGTTCTGGGCTGATCGTTTGTAGACGAATATTTTACACTGCTTTTTAAACTTGTGATTTGCGAAGGCCCTGTGCATGATCAGCTGACACTTGACAGCTCCCCGCCTTATATATTTATTTTGTTTATTTATTTATCTTTCTGCGTGCCGATAATACTCTGGTGGTAAATAGTGAGGGAGTGGGCTCTGGCCGTCTGGCGTCTGTGCCTGAAGCCCTGAACTCCTGAAGCCCTGAACCTCTGGGGTTAATATAACATATTTCTGATATTTACACATACGAATAAATTAAGGTCACATACGCAATTACTTGTCATACTTCCACATTGCAGCATACAGTCACTTTGTGTTATATTCCAAGATGTCCCGCACAGCCGTTATCGTTTCCACAGCACGTACACCGTTGGCGAAAGCTTTCCGTGGTGCGTTCAACAATACACACGGTGCTGCCCTGCAGGTAAGAATGCATCTAAGATTCTCTACAGTACCAATAAAGAGTGTTTAGCTGTGTATTATGCGCTGAAATATTTGTGACGCCAAAGTGTGCAAGTTGTTCATCAGTTGCTGCGTACGCTAACGTTCATATATGTTTGAGTCTACAGATAAATCTGTTACACCTAACCATATACGCTGAATTTTTTTAGGAATACGATAGTGAAAATGCAGGTTGACGAAGACTAGGGCCGCAGCGATAGCAGTAGTCAATGATACTGGCATTGTCCAGAAGCTCTTTAATATATAGAATCTGCATACGGCATACGCTTCAGAATAGGTCCACCTGGGTGGGCAGTACTCCATTGTATGCTAGCAGATACTCTATTCCACATTGCATATGACAATGCCGCGTCAGGCACATAAAAATCCTTACAAGCACTTCCACCTGGATTAAAAAACCCATTAAATGATAACTGTACGCAGCTGTAAATCTACGGAAACCAACTGACTTCCATAACGGACTTACTAACCTCGTCAACTTTGGTACCGGACTTACTACCAGTAGGATGCGAACTGACCCGAGGTATCATACTATTGGTAGGCACTAATACAACTGCATTGATTTTATCCATTCAGGGACACTGCATCAAGCACGCGGTTGAGAGAGCCGGAGTTAAACCAGAGGATATCGAGGATGTGTTCATTGGCTGTGGAATGGTAAGGGGAACAACTCTTTATGTTATTTGTATTAGATTCGGAGTAGATATTATTGTTTTCGTATGACAATGAAAATGTAGCATTAGCCGAGTCTTATCCCAATGTATTACGGAATTCGAGCAATTCGCAAAGAATACAGTGTTCGTGTAGATAGTATTGGTATTTCTGTATCATTAAGATGGGGAATTTGCTCGTATTTTGAGGTCAGTAGATTCAAAAGAATATGTCAGAGTCATATCTCACAGTAGTAGGTGCGTGTGTTTATACTAGGAATTCTAATTCTACGCGAGTTAATAGTCACATACATCTCTCCATATTTAACAAAAGTATCATAGCAAATACTTGGGCCAACAATGTTATTGGTGAAGATTTAAAGTGATTTTTTATGCACATTGGTGGTGCGTACGGAGTGTATAGTTACGTACCTCTAGTGTGGTAGTGCATGTACATTCATATATAGACATATGTGCTTACGAATGTGCAGCTATTGCAAAAATGGATCGGAATCGACATCTGCCATCCCATAATATTCCGAGATCTTTCCTGTTTGTAGAGAATTCAGAGGCACATCGTTGCGATTGGATTTTCTCTGGTTTTCAGTCGCAAATGGTCAAATAGCCACGTTGGTTCCTTTTTTATTCTTCAAATAGGTGAAGTTCATATTTACATTCCTTGAATAATTTGTCCAATAAGTTAAATATGATAAACAACAGACTCACGTACTGTCAAATTCCCACCCATTCAGCCCGAGGGAGCCACTGGTATGAATGTTGCCCGCAACGCCGCTCTTTGGGCTGGGTTGCCCGTAACTACCAGTGGTGCTACTATAAATAGATTCTGTAGTTCCGGATTGCAGGCCATTGCCATGGCTGCCCAGTCTGTGATTGTTGATCAAGTGCCTATTGCTATTGGTGGAGGTGTTGAATCTGTCTCTCTGGTCCAGGAGTCTGTTGGGAAGTAAGTCCGTTATGCATATCTCATATCGAGATGACTGTTGTTTGGAATGTTTCTATATTTATTGACATAGTATTCAGTCTTTTGCTGCCCATGTCTAGTTCGAATGATATCTTCAGCGTGTGACTAAAACATATCAACTACATAAACCAGCACACTTTGGTACCCAAGCATAGATATATGCAATCAGGCTTCTGTAAGCCCAAAATCTGGACGGCTGTTTCCGTCAGAATATACGCTTACATTCACATACCAACAATTGAACAAGTCAGCATATATAATTAACCATATATATATATATAATTCATCCTCACAGGGGAGTGAAGACCGAGCGCAAGCTATTTAAGGAGTACCCAGGACTCTGGATGCCCATGATTCAAACGGCTGATATTGTCGGTGCACGTTACGGTATTTCGCGAGAGCGTTGTGACGAGTACAGTCTAATGAGTCAACAACGTACTGCCAAGGCACAGAAGGAAGGAAAGTTCGATGACGAAATTGTTCCTATGACAACGATGATGAAAGTCAAGAACAAGGAGACCGGAGAGATTACAAAGCAGGAGGTCACGCTGGACAGAGACGACTGCAACAAGCCCAATACAACTCTAGAAGGTAAGTGGTAAACATATATATATGTACATATATATACAAATGTCTAAATAAGGAAATGTCAGTCTTTAAACACCATAAGATCGAATTCGCCCGAATGTTTTGTATTCGAATGTACATGCCCGGTATTTCCCCCCAAAATAATAATAATACTGTACATGCATATATATTGTGTGAAAGCAGATTCGGCATTTCTGAAGGCCGCTTGTGCTGACGAACATCCGATAGCCTTCATAATTCGAGCTTCATTAGTGATGTATACAATCAAAGTGCTTTATCTGGTCCAGACTCAATTGCTATACTTGCTGATTCATCAAAATTATCACTTTCCAGCGCTTAATAGTTCATACCTACACATGTATATCTACAGGTCTACAATCTCTAAAGCCCATCCGTGGTGAAGAGGATCCTAACGCTGTCGTCACAGCCGGTAACGCCAGTCAATTGAGTGACGGTGCCAGTGCGTGTGTGGTCATGGAAGCCGGTGAGGCCGAGAAGCGTGGAGTTACACCTCTTGGTATCTTCAAGGTAATATATGTTATCTATGTTTATATATATATATATATACGTGTCAGGAATATATACATATATAAGGATATATATTCATAGACATGTACATGTGAGTTCTCGAGTGTATACGTGAACTTTTATATATGTATATATATATATCAAAATACATATATATATATGAGTATATTCTTTTCTACTTGTGTATGCTACAATAATCCTCAAATATATATTTAATTTCGCCGTTGCCGGACACTGGTGCGAGGAGGTAGGCAGCAGGGCCAGATCCGTCTTCATTTGTTTATAGACACCCACATGTATATTTATAATACTGGTCAAAGACATTCGTTTACACAATGCCCATTCCAATCTGTTAGGGTTTCGCCGTTGCCGGATGCTCGCCCGAGGAGATGGGCATCGGACCCGTCTTCGCCATCCCCCGCCTACTACAGCGCCACGGTCTAACCGTTGACGATATCGACCTGTTCGAGCTCAACGAAGCCTTCGCTGTACAGGTACTATACTGTGCCGATAAGCTCAAGATCCCCATGGAGAAGCTCAATGTAAACGGAGGGTCTATCGGTATCGGTCACCCCTTCGGCATGTCTGGTTCACGTCTTACTGGACATGCGCTGATTGAGGGCAAGCGTCGCGGTGCTAAGCACGTGGTGGTGACCATGTGTGTGGGCGGCGGTATGGGTGCCGCTGGTCTATTCGAGGTAGTCCACTAAATTATACGTTCTATTTAAAAAGGAACGAAAAATTGAATGTAAATTTGTCTAATTTAGAATGCTGTGGTAAATTTAATAATTAAACTCGAAAATGTAGTAGAACATAATCTCATCACCGATCTCACGACTCACGTTGTATGCGTATGCCTGTAGTATATTTCAACCTCCTGCTTAGTAGATGGGGTTTATGCTGATTGAGCTCGTGTGTTGTGGTGGCTACTAACACCTGGCCTATCGACTTGATCAACTATGTTGGATTTGTGATCGTTTCTAATGAATGCCGTTCACCTTGCTTGTCATCCTTTTACAGAATACCATGCTTGTGTGTTTTAATAATAAAATGAATATGTATGATGGTGCTTATTAACAGCTCACCTCCATTATGCCTACTCTCTTGAACCCACTACCGTGGTAAATTTGTATGTATGTGTGTAAGTACATAGCCTTCTAAATTGACAAAGACTATGGTAAATACAGTACGCAAAACTTCAAATCCTAAAACATATAAGACTATGGAAAGCATTACACATAGGTCACAGCCTTCTTCTTGTATGATTCCGAAGAAGGCTATACAATACAGACAAAAATATATATATTTACCGGCTTCAACTCTGAGCTCTAAACTCAGCCTCCTTTTTGCGAGGAACCGTGTTCATACAGGATATTTATATTTATATATAAGTTCCGAACCCTCTACCTTATGATGTCTCACGTCCTGCTGCGCTGGTATATCATCCCTCTCAGTTGCTAATCTCATGCTCACTTCAGAGTGTTGAGTATGTCTTGTGAACACAGAATGTACCAAAATTAGCGCCGTGGCCAGGTCGCCCTCCAACGTCTGTGTGGTTATGAAATCAAGCACACGTATACAAACTCAGAAACATCCTCGTACACGGTTTGGACCCAGTAGGTCCTCAGCACGCTGTAGGAGTGACTAGCTCACCAACTGTATACTAAAAACAATGCAGTAGCGTTGTGTGGACATGTACACAAGCAAGTACACTCCAACTTAGAGAAGATCCTCGTGCACACTCCAGGGTTTTCTCAGTATAGCTCTGGCGTAATGTAGAGTGACGGAGTCATCAACAGTAGCCAAGCCATCCAACAGAGTCTGTGTGCTTATATGCTCAAACACCCTATCTTTTCCACTCCCCCTCTCTCGCACAGTACTACTAGCAAGCTCATCACATATCGGACATCAGCCAACTGCGACACAGTGATTAGCATCCAAGTACGATTGTTCGAATGCCCAATCCGGTCTCTGCTCACCGTCCAGCTCAAACTTAGTTTCCATGGCAACCACACCCCACTCGTCGAAGGCACACGCTTTGTCCTGTGCGAACACCACATTATGTAGATACAAGTGTAACCCCTCGCCTGTTGCCTTTATGTAGCTTTCTTTGGGTGTCCAGATGCGATAAAAGTATTCTAATGGACAGTCTGAAGCCCTGATCTCGATCCATTTCTTTGTAGAGCATTGAGGGGTCATGAGATCAAAGAAATCGTCTGTATCTTCCTATGCATTTAGACTCATGGCGTCCACCCCGCACATCCTACCTATTTCCCCAGCGAGCACAGAGTATTCGCCATGGTGTGATACATTGCATTGCCAACCCGTGAGTCATTCTATATTATTTGCTTCATCGGTATCGAAAGCTGTATCCAAACCTGTACGTGTTTGTAACGGCGCATTCGATTGGTTCAATATTTTCAATACAGTAGGCTTGTTCCGCGCTGTTCATCCGAGTTTAACCTCATTCCACGGCACATTTAAAGTCTCACACACTGCCTTTCGTAGTAGAAAACGGCCCGTGAGTGCTAGTATAGCATTTCTTCAGAACTGAATCGACCTATACGTGTACACTCTTCCGGTTGAATGCTTCGTAAACACGTTAATAACTCGGTTTCACTTATATTCCATGCTTTGCAGTTGACTGCCCAGCGCAAGTGGTTTGGATGTGAAACTTATAATCAGGATGAAACAACAATTGCCTTCTGGAGTCTGGATGGAGTCTACTAAATTTACGATTTCCGCCGCCTAAAACAACTTGACATCGTAGGTCGTAGGATGTGCCTAAAATATTTCGAGACCTGTCATATCATTAATATCACTCTGTCTACTCTACTACATTGAGGTTTATTCAGTTGACTATGACTCTACTAAATAGTAGAGAGAGAGAGAGAGTAGTCAGTAGACCCTGTGGCCTGCGGCCTGTGGCTGTCAGACAGTGTCACAGTGAGTGTCAGTCTGTATCTGAGTGACTGGGTCATCGTGCCTGTGTCATCCAACATAATCATTTGCACAATATTTACTGTTTCAGAAGGCTATGTTTATCTTGAATTATTTATGACCTATTCCATCCACTGAGTTTAATTCATTAGAAGGCTATGCTACCTCAGTGGTATATATACATGCTGTATAGTGTAAACAGGTAACATACTGAGTATACTGCTTCCTATACTGATACAATCCAGGGTGTCCGACTGTACTGAACACGTAGAACGCGAAGGTCTGAAACAAACTCGCACACCGCAAAGATAGTACAGGCCAGTTCTAACAGTACTGGCACCCAAGTGCAGCCTAATTCTGGTACTACAACAGTGGTTGACAGGAACCCTAGCACTAGGACACCAGAAACACCGGATCGCTATGAACAACCACGTGTTGAGTATTCTGGTGCATAGTATATCTACATATATATA